AAGATTGTCAACAAGTTGTCACAATGCTGTTACTTCATCAAGTTGCTACAAGGATGTCACTCACAGACTTGTTGACAAATTGTTGAATTGCAGGACGATAACATGTTGTTCGTCTGTTGAGCTCAACAACCTTGTAGCAAGATTGTCAACAAGTTGTCACAATGCTGTTATTTTATCAAGTTGCTACAAGGTTGTCACTCACAAACATGTTGACAAATTGTTGAATTGCAAGATGATAACATGTTGTTCGTCTGTTGAGCTCAAGAACCTTGTAGCAAGATGTCAACAAGCCCTTGACAACAAGCAGTGCGAACACATCCTGTTGACAAGTTGTTGGAACAGCATTGCTACAAGTCTGCTGCAGGTTTGTTACAACTTGTGCGTTTTTACGTGTGTACCAGCCCCAAATATAACCCAGAATCGTTATTAAAGGGTAGACCGAAACAACAGATTTTCAATTAAAATTTAGAAATTTCAACTCATTTTCCATATTATACATGCAAAGGTTCACGAGATAGCTCGCGCAATCACAATAGACATTTCATGGTCATCTAAATGAAGTACTTCCGGCCACAAAGTCACGCGTGTAGTGGTTCGCGGGGCACGAGGGACAGCCTTGGACAACGTTTTGGGCAAGTTGTTAAAAATGATACATCTTGTCAACAAGATGCGTTCGCAACAGGTTTGTGACAAGCCTGGCAAACAAGTTGAACTTGTAACAAGTCAGTTGCAGGGTTGTATAACAAGTTCTCAACAAACATTACGAATATACAACGTTGGAAACAACCTTGCAGATGACTTGGAACATTTTATCTATGGGCTCTATAAGCTTTCCAACCCACAACGCGATAACTTTGTAACATGGAAGAAAACTTCAATTGCTACATGTTAACAACATTGTAACAGGATTAAACTATAGTGTGTTTGCACTCATTCCCCAGGGACCAACTCAACAAAAGCCATGGCGGCCATATTGATATCAGTTCCAGACAAAAGCGTCCAATTAAAATTCTTTTGAATTGGAACACCAACATGACGGCTGTGACGTCATGTGCAAACGCTCTATAGACATCGGTAGTCAATGCCGTTACAATGTTTTAAAGGTACGTTTGCACAGAACGATTAATCGGGCCGATTCAGCTTTAATTAAATGATATACGAAAAATAAGCTGTCAACGTCATCTGAAGACATCGTCAACTGATAACATTCGTCATTAACATTCGGCAAAACCTGAAATCGGTCCGATTCATCGTTGTGTGTGAACTCAGCTTAAGGCACTTAATGCCGATTTACATGAGCTACACAACTTTTGCCTGAAACTGTCGCATGCAAACTGCTTACAACTTGAGTTGTACTGTGTAAATCAAGCACACAAACTCGCCTAGGTTTTCGTACAACTCAACTTGTACGCGACAGTTTTAGGCAAGCGACAGTTTTAGGCAAGAGTTGCATGCGACAGTTTTAGGCAAGAGTTGTGTAGTGTGTAAAACAGCCTTTACACTTGCAATTTGAGCTGCGATTTTAGATGCGATTCCCTCTTCTTATGGATGCGAAGTATTGGATGAAGGTACATAATTGGGTACCGTACTCAGAACATTCATGACTCGTGTTGTTACTGATCTGCAAACAAGTTGCAGCAAGGTTGTTGCCAAGCCGATATCGGGATGTGTTCGCACTGCTTGTTCCCAGTTGTTGCGACAAGTGTGGAACGAGTTGTATCACCTAGCTTGATTCAAGGTTGGTGCCGAGGACTGGAAGTTGTTCCAACAAGACAGTTGCTACGAATTTCTTGTCGTCGACTTGTTACGTGTATCAGATTAAGTTGGAACAACTTGTTGCGAGACTGTTGGCCTCATCAACTCTGTTACAAGACATGATAACAACTTGTTCCAGACTTGTCATAAACTGGGAACAAGCAGTGCGAACACATCTTGTTGCCAGGCTGTGAGATATCATAGTTAATAGAAGAGATGGTTTGGAAACTCATTAGAATGACAATATAACTTATTATCTATGTTAGTCAACGTTTATTCATAAATCTGGCCTTCACCGTCACGTGCGTATTGTATTGTTGCCCAACTAACCAATAGCAATGCTTTAGGAAAGTTACCTATCCATGACTCGAACAATAGGGTAAATTGGAAATTGCTATTGGTGGATTTGGCAAAAATACAATACACACGTGACGGTGAAGGACCAGATTTATGAATAAACGTTGACTAACATAGATAATGAGTTATATTGTTATTCTAACGAGTTTCCAAACCATCTCTTCTATTAACTATGGAGATATTCACACGCGTACTCAGAAGACAATCGGACTAGAAATCGCAGCAAAATCACAAGTGCAAAGTTGATGTGCAAAGTTGATGCGCAATCTCTTCGTTGCAAACTCTCATCGATTCTCAACCGCGTTTTCAACCAGACTTCACCTAACAACTTGCCCGCATTTCCAAACGGCTTGCTGAAATTATTTTACTTTGCAATTTACACCTAGATTAATGAGTGCCCGCCGCGCGGACAAACTGTCTTGTTAATATATCTTTAAGTATACTTATCCGTCTCTAAAAATTGAGCCAAATACCGCGCAAGCACGGCTTTGGTTTGCGCCCAGCGTAATTTATGCTAATCGCGTGCCGACTGCGTCCGCCCGATCAGCGAGCGACGATCTAACGGAAGTGCGACGTCGCGACGTTTTATAAAGACATTTTTACATTTCGCGCGTTTTATTCTAACATGCTGAATCGTCTTTGGGCTTCGGCGCGGCGTTTTCTTGCGGTTCGGTCGTCGTGTTGTTGTCGTGTGTGGCATTTGGCGTAAAGTTTAACTTCATTTTATGATCAATCTCTAATTGTTCTAACGATTTCCACAACTCCTCGCGTTCTTTCTCTTTCCTCTTCTCTCTAAAATGTAACAATGTTCAACCGTCTTAAACATGTTGTATGGTGAAACACTGGCTGTAGCTAGTCATACAAAAATCTCACAGCTTGTCAATAACGAGATGTGTTTGCATTTGTCAATTGTTGATAAGTCTGGAACAAGTTGTTAACATCTACATACTTAAAAACGCGCAAGTTGTTACAGGTCTGCAAACAAGTTGTTACAATTCTGTTCACAAGCTGTCGACAAGTTGTGTTCGCACTGCTTGTTCCCAGTTGTTGTAACAAGTTTGGAACAAGCTGTTAACAACTTGCAACAAGCTTGATGGCATTATCAGACTTGTAGCAAAGTTGTTCTAACAAGTCTGATACAGTCATGATATAGCAAGAATGTTACAAGGGTTGATGACACAAGGTTGTAACATTCTTGTTATATCATGACTGTATCAGACTTGTTGGAACAACCTTGCAACAAGTCTGATAATATCAACAAGGTTGTCACAAGTTGTTTAACAGTTTCAAACTTGTTGATAACTTGGGACAAGCAGTGCGAAGACAACTTGTTGGCAGACTTGCTGCTTGTTGGCAGACTTGCTACTTGTTGGCAGACTTGCTACGTGAGCATAAGGAGGTTGACGAGGCCAACAGATTCGCAACAAGTTGTTCCAACAAGTTCATGATGACAAGCTCGCAGCAACTTCTTACGAACAGCCTGTATTAGTCTTGTCGGAACAACTGTGAAACCGTGATAACAACTTGTTCCAAATTTGTCACCAGATAAATATTGAAGGTTGTACTTACTTTTGTCTATCCGCTTTATATGACGAAGTTAATTCATCGAAAAGTTTGCTGTTCATGTCCATGAACGTCTTTAGAACATTATAAACAAGCGCTACGATTGTTCTGGAAGAAAAAAACAACAAAAACTTTAGCAAAAATTCCTCATGGGAGGTGCAAAACGATCTCCAGGG